TGCCCTGTGAGGAGCAGCCAGATGTCCAGGTAGGCTGGACCATAGAGTGAGTGAAGGGGGTGAATGTGGGATAAGTCTGGACGTCAAAATGACAAACAGTTTTTGCCCTTAGGAAGGTTACATTCTACTGGGAAGATGGCTGGCTGGCTGAATTTGGGGTCCAGAGGAGAAGAGCAGTGGGGGGCCTGGGAGAAAAGCAGGGAAGTTTATGTCTCTGGGCCTCAGTTTCCTCTACTGTAAAATGATGGAGTTGTGGACTTGATAGCTACTAATGTCTCCTCCAGCTCAAGGTCCAGAATCCCATAATCTCAGGAGAGAGGTGGTGGGCTGTGGGGGTGGAATGGTGCATATGTAACTGTGCTTCTTGGTTACAAGGGAGGGGTCTATAAAGAAGGGAGTCTTTGGGAATCTCTAGTGCAGGGAGAAAAAAGCATTAATAAAACTTAAAAAAAAAGATTAAAAGGGTACATTTCAGTTTTAAATGTATAAGTAGATTTGCCATTGTCAGAATTTAAAATCCCAGCTTAGAAAGAAGAGTTTGAAATGACAGTCATTTCATTCTTCACTCACCTGTCAGGTGGTGACAGATGAAATGGCCTGTCTGTCCCCCCCCCGCATCTACATTGCTTAAAATGGTGAAAACTCAGTTCAGAAGCATAGGGAGAAGACATTTAGTCAGACCAGCTTTAATGAGCTAGGGGGCCGCTAGGTGGCACAGTGAATAGAGTCCCAGGTCTGGAGTCAGGAAGACCTGAGTTCAAATATGGCTTCAGACACTTCCTATCTATGCGACCTTCGGTAAGTCACTTAACTTCCCAGTGGCAACTCTCCAGCACTGTAAGTTTCAGGACAGGTGCTTATCTGCATTGGTAGAAGGAAGTCCCTCACTGGGAAGTCCTTACACTGGTGAAATCACAGGTGTGGACTAAAAAACCCAACCTCTTCCATTCCAGTCTTATTCTTATGTATTCTTCTGTTTGTCATGCCAATGTGATCACGGGGTCTCAAAGTCCATGCCCGTGGATACAGAGCTCTCGGAGGACTGAGCAAGCTGGAAAGGCTTTGGCCACCTGTCTTACACAGAAGGGCGAAAGACGGTCTCTGCTCTCATCTCACTTTTCACTGCTGAAGGAAGAGCTCACGTTCTCCCAGCTGAGAGCTGGGATTGATGATGGATTAAGCTTCCTTTCCCTGGCATGGGAATCCGCCCAGTTTCCTGCCTGTTGGAAACAGGTCACTGTCCTTTATGATGAGGAGAGGGGAGACTGATCCATCAGGCTCGTTTTCTCCCCCTCCCAGCGACTCGTTCGCTCCTGACCTTGGTGAGGCTGAATTAGCCTTGTCAGTAACCTGATGATTCTCTTTGTTGAGTCAGGTTTCATTTCCTGTTCTCAGGAATATCGTTTCTGATCTTGGTAACTGTCAGCTGAGGGCTCTCAGATGGAGGTATTTCTCAGACTTTTTGAGTGTCTTCCTTGAGCACCCTCCGAATCCCCTTTCCCATGGGGATGGCTGTTCTCTGTGTGATTCAGAAAGCACTTGGGAAGTTTGTGGCCTGTCAGATGCATCTCCTTGCTCAAATTGTCTTGTTTTTATTTGTCTGTGTGTTCTCCAATTGAACGTAAACTCCTTGGGAGGAGGGACTGTTTTTGTTTGTCTGGTATCTGCCACTTGGCATAAGGCATTGTGCACACAGTAGGCACCTAATTAATACTTGTCTTGAATCCGACTGGTAGCTGATCTTAGGCAAGTGTCAAGTTAACATGTCCCTGGGCAATGTGAGACTCTGCCAAGGGCAAAGTGTCACCTCTTTCTAGCTCTCAAATGCCTTTGCCTTGGGAGAAGAACCTCACCCCAACCCTAGAGTATTAGGGAGGAGTTGGGAAGAGTTCCTAACATCACTCCTTAGTCAGTAAGCATTCAGTAGGCACCTACTGTGTACCAGGCACCGTGCTAAGTGCAAAGCAATACAAAGAAGGGCAAAAGACGGCCTCTGCTCTCAAGAAGCTTACAGTATAAGGGTCTGGTAGAATGACTCTGCTCCTTACTAATCCCTTTAAGTGGTGGTGTGCCAAGGGTCTGTGCCCTTCCGGGCTACTGAGCTGTATGCATTTATGTTGTGTTAGGGACAGCCGGGTGTCTGTGCCCTTCCGGGCTACTGAGCTGTATGCATTTATGTTGTGTTAGGGACAGCCGGGTGTCAGAAAGACTCATCTCTCAGGGTTCAAAGCCAGCCTCAGACATTTCCTAGCTGTGTGACCCTGGACAAGTCACTTCACCCCTGTTTGCCTCAGTTTCCTTATCTGTAAATGGGAATAATAATAGCACCTCCCTCCCAGGGTTGTGGTGAGGCCCAAATGAGATAATATTTTGTAAAGCATTTAGCACAGTACCCAGCACATAGTAGGGTCTATATAAATGTTAGTTGTTATTATCTGTGAGCAGGTTGTATTCCTCTGCTGGAATGGAAACTCTCTGGGAGCAGTTGCATGAGGTTAGAGGCCCCACTGTCTTTACACTAGAGGAGTAGTGGATAATGTGCTGGGCCTGGAGTCAGGGAGACCTGCCTCAGACACCCTGGGTGGCTCTGGGGAAGTTATTTCACCTATGTCTGCCCTCCTGGTCCCAGTGCAATGCTCTACACTTCATTAGTAGTTACCGAATGAATGAATGAATGAATGAATGAATGAATGAATGTTTTTACCTGAATAGCTCTTCCCCTCCCCACAGTGGCCTCTCTTCTTGACTCTCTTGTCCCTTTGTACTTTTCCTCCATCCCTTCTCTATATCATCTCCCTTGTCCCATGCACTTTTCATATGAATATGCTGGCCTGGCCAGAGTTCCTTCTTTCCAGGAGGCATGGAGCCTACAGGGCATTGTCCCGGGCCTCAGCTCACTGGACTTGGCTGCTCCGGTCCCTGCTTCTTCATCACAAAAGACCTTTTTTGTAATGGGGCCACGGTGGGAAGAGCAGAAGCCAATGCCTGGTTGGGAGCTGTGTCCGTGTTGCCCCAGCAGAGGAGATTGGGTAACGGAGCCGTGGGGTGTCCTGGGTGCAGCCACTAGTCCAGATAAGGCCCTGGCCTCTCTCTCCCAGCCACAGCTGCCTTATACCAGCACAGATAATTGGGAACAAGCAGAGTTTCTATGGCTGGTCTGTGTTTTACAGTGAGTGGATGCTGACTCTGCTTGAGTGAGAGGGGAGGTCAGAAGGACGCTGTCATGAGATAAGAGACAGCATTTCTGAAAGGTTCAGATGTTGCCTTTTCCATTTGTGTCTGTTTCTGAGTTCTCCAAATGTGATCAAATCAAGTCCAGACATACCCCCAAAATGCCATGTGCCTTCCATGTTCTCCAATACATCTGTGATCTCATTAATAATGAGAAGCCTCGCTGACATTTATGTAAGCACCTCCTGTGTGCCAAGCACTGTGTTAGGTTCTGGGGACACAATTGGTCAATCCATAAGCATTAATTGAGTGCCTATTAAAAGAAAGGCAGCCCCTGCCAACCAGCACCTTAACGTCTTAGTAGACTAGATGCAACCTGCCCACCCCACCGATGGGTAAAGACAGGGAATAGAGCAAATAAGTTCTGGGGATTTGGAGACGGTGAGTATTGATAACTAGGGGCGTGGGGTGGGGGGAATCAGGAGAGGCCATTTGTAGACACTGGAGCTGAGCCTTGAGGGGAGCTGGGAGTTCCAAGAGACCAAGGTAGAGGAAGGAAGGCATTCCAGGCATGGAATCAATGCCAAGGCCTGGAGGCTGGAGATGAGCATCACAGTCCTGGGAGGCTGCTGGGGCTCAAAGTCCCCTGGGGCCTCGACATCGGGAATCTCCTTCAGAGTGAGTGGGTCAGCTCCTGTCGGACCGTGTTGTTCATCCAAAAGCCTAGCCAACCAGCTTTGTTCACCCAGCCCGATGCCAAATGACGTGGAACTGTTTCAGCAAATTGCATGCATGTTCAAGGGACAGAAATTTCTGTCTCCTGATTGCTAGAATGGCCCCATTTAGCATCCCCAGTTTCTCCACCAAGAATATTTGAGTGAAGATCTAGCTTGATAGGCACACGGAAATCCAAAAGTCTCTTGGACTAAAGGCTCTTGGTATCTGGGCGTCTTCATCACTTCACGCTTGGTGCCTGGGAGGAATGGTTGTACGTGCTGCTCTTCCCCCTTCCTGCAAGATACGCGTGGTGAATGAACTTCAGCCAATCACAAGATCCCCAAGATTATGGGCTCGAATCACAGCCTTCTTTGGAATGGGATCATTCTATTTCATTAAATCCAGCAAGGATTTATTTAGCACCTACCTTCATGCCAAGGCTCAAAAACAAAACAGGAAATGGCTCCTGACCTCAGGGAGCTTGTATTCTGTCAAGGGCCAGCAACATGTACAAAGAGAAATAAATACAAGCCACTTTGAAGAGGGTGAAGCCGCCAACGCTCAAGGGGATCTGGAAAGGCTTTCCCTACAAAGAGGCATCCCATATGGTCCTCGAAAGCCCCTCACGATTTGGAGAGACGGCTATGATGAGGGAAGGCATTCTAGACATTGGTGGGTAGCTTGTGCAAAGAAATGAGTAATGGAGTGCTGAGTCTGGAAATTGCAAGTAAACCTAAAGAATGTGCAGCTCCTTTAAAAACAAACATATTTACAAAATATTGGGAGCAAATGGTCTCCTTAAGGGGATAAACAGGGCATCATCCAGGTGACTGCTTCAAACAAAATGGTGCTCATTCCAATATACGTTTTGGTTTGGTTTAAGATTTTTTAAAAGTCTCGTTCCTTTAAGGTTCATTTCCAGTTGTCTGTAGAGGGTGGCTTATGAAACTTCTGCTAAAGTATTTTTCTTGGTGGGTTCTTTTCCTCCCCTGCAATATGGTTTCCTCATCATATCTAAGCTGCTGCAGATTGAATTGTGCCGGAAACATCCAAGTTCCTTCTTCCCCGGGGGAGCTCACTGCCTGCTGCTCATGAGATCTTCTCTCTTCCAGGTTATTCCTTGTCATCGAGTACGTGAATGGAGGGGATCTCATGTTTCATATGCAAAGGCAAAGAAAGCTTCCGGAGGAGCACGCCAGGTATGTTGCAGGCAGCGCCCTATCCCTGGTGTTGTCATCGATGACAATTGGAAAACCAGATGCTGTTTGGATAGAATGCTAATGAAGAATTGTGCTTAATCACTGCCCCATCTCTCTACCCATCTTTTTAAACTTGGTTCTCTAAGCATTTTACAGATATTATCTCTTATTTTCACAATAGCCCTGGGAGCTAGGTGCCATTAGCCCAATTTTATGAATGAAGAAACTGAGGCTCAGAGACATTAAGGTGACTTGGCGCAGGTCACCTGGACAGGGTTTGTGCTGGTATTACTGATCTTAGGCACAGAGTTCTGTTAAATACACAACTCTGTGTGTGTGTGTGTGTGTGTGTGTGTGTGTGTGTGTGTGTGTGTGTACGTACGCAGGGAAGATTAGATCTGTCTGAGCTAGGAGGGACCTCATGGGTCCCCCTCTAATGTACCCCTGTTTTAGCATTCCCACATTTTTTTAAACAGTGAGGTAGCTAGGTGATGCTGTAATGGATGAAGCACTAGCCCTTGAGTCAAGAGGACCTGAGTTCAAATGCGGCCTCGGACATTTACTAGCTGTGTGACTCTGGGCAAGTCACTTAACCCCGATTGCCTCCCTGTCATTATACCTGTCATTCTTGTTCACAAGAAGGCACAGGAATAGGAACTATAGCTGTGGTTTCTTTGGTATAGGGACCTCCTGGATGGGGAAACTCACTTTGCCAATTCAAGTTGGCCCCTTCTCTACAGTTTAGAGCCATTTAGGGGGTTGCCTCAAGCAGTGAGATATTAAAAGACCTGTCCAAGGTCTCACAGCCAGTGTGTGGCCTGAGAGAGGATGGAACTCGGATATCCCAGGCTTCAAGGCCAGCTCTCTTTACCATCCACACTAGACCAGACTATCTCATTTGTAAGAAGAGGAAAATGAAACAAAACAAAAACTTTGGGAGCTGGGGATGGGAGGAGAAAGAGAGGAGGGAAAGGTATGAATGGTTCTATTAAGTGTAATTTTCTAAGATTGTTTTTTAAAAATACACAATCTGATTTCCTTAGTGTGGGACACATGTGTAAATCCCAACCTGCCTATGATTTAGTAAATGAGACTCAAGCCAGATCTGTCCAGATTGGCATCTTTTAAGTTTCAGAGGCAGATTTGAACCCAGGTCCTGCTAACATCAAGACATTCCCTCTCCCAAGCCTACCCTGCCTCTGTGATAAATAAGTCACAGTTAAGTGAAGGTAGGAAGAAACCTGCTGAACTTGCAGTCTGAGGAGCTGGGTTCAAATCCCCGTGTTGCTATATGCTTGCCCAAGTCATTTCCTCTCTCCACCTCAGTTTCTTTCTCTGTAAAATGAGAAGGTTATGTTAGATTGTCTCTATCTCTGTCACTCACTACAAGTCACTAGTCCAGTTTAACAAATATTATTGGAGTGCATTTTGTGTCCCAAGCCCAGCACCACTTGCTGAGCTGGGCTGGATTTCTGTTGAATGGAGCTCAGGGGCCATCTCCTTGGCACCCAGCTCCCTGCAGGGGCTGAGTGATGTCTCTGGTACCTCATTCATCTTGACTTAACTTTGCAACCGAGAAGGGCCGATGGCAGGTTCAAACTGCAATTCGGGTTAATGACCTGAATCTGACAGGGCAGCTTGGAATTTTTGATACCAACGAGAATGGATTAGCAAGGGCTGGACTGAATGAAGGCAAAAAGCCATCAATCTCACCTGGTTATTTTGAGAAAACTTTTTAAAAACTCCTCTGTGCTGTAAGAGAAACGACATTGGGCCCTCCTTTCTTGCCCCTAGCTCACTCTTAGCTGGCTCTCTCTTTTTAGAAGTCATGAATCTCTCCCTTTGAATTGTGAATTGGGTCTTGTCACCTCCAGGAGCTACGAGACGTTGATAGCTTTTCGGGTTTGTTTTTTCCCTCCAAGGTTTTATGCTGCTGAAATATGTATTGCTCTAAATTTCCTCCACGAACGGGGAATTATCTACAGGGACTTAAAACTAGATAATGTCCTCTTAGATGCTGAAGGTCACATCAAATTAACAGACTATGGCATGTGCAAGGTAAGTGACCTTGTCCGTGTGGATTTCTGCCTGGCTGGGTCCGCCATGTGCCTCTGGGACATAGTCGGATCGTGGGATGCTAGCCGCCTCCACGTGCCCTGTGTGCCTGCTTCTGCATTACATCCATGCCACTGTTTACCTGGGCAAGCTTCTGCCTCTGGTTCATCTGCCAGTGCGGGAGTGGATCGGTGTGTGTCTGCCTGTTTGTCCACCGATCAGCCTCCTTGCGCACGCGTTTGTCTGGGCTTCAGCTTGTGTGCTTGCTCGTTTGCCTCTGCCTGGGTCTGTGTCTCTTTCTTGTGATGAGAACTTTACCCCTGAAGGACCAGATATAACCTCCCTGTCATCCAACGACTAGTTGAAGTCCTTCTGGGAGGGGACATCCCACACCCTCCCAAGGCAGCCCATTCCACATTGGGTCAGCCCTCTACCATCCACGTCAGTCAATCAAGAGACATTTTTAAAGGACTTCTTGTGTTCCGGGCACTGTGCTAAGTGCTGAGTATACAAAGAAAGGCAAAAAACAGCCGCTGCCTTCGTGGAGTGCACAGTGTGATGTAGAAACAGTGAAATGATTCCCTCAGCAGAGGGAAGGCACTAGAATGCAGTGGGAAGGGGAGAGACTTTTTGTAAGAGGTGGGATTTTACACAGGACTTGAAGGAAGCCAGGGAAGCAGATAGGCAGAGATGAGGAGGGAGAGCAAAAATGCCCAGAGTGAGGAGAGGGTCTTGTGTGAGGAACAGGCAGGCAGCCAGTGTCACTGGATTGTAGAACAGAGGGGGGTCAGGTCAGCTATAAGAAGACTGGAAACACCTGATGGCCAACCATTCCTCCCCGGTATCTTCTTGTGAAGTCACTTTCTTGAACTCAGGTGTGCGACTTGACGTTTTCCTTATTGAATTTCATCTTACCGTGTTCTAACCTGTCGTGCCCTTCGTAGATCCTGCCTGTCACCCGGGGTGTTAGCTGGCCCTCTTGGATTTGTGTCACTTGACATAATTTGATGAGGCGTGCCATCTCTACCTTTGCCTGAATATGACACGGCACCAAGTGACAACCAGATCCCTGGGGCATTCCGCTGGAGACTTCTTGCCACGCTGACCTCAGAGTTGACTACTTTTAATCCCATTATTCAATTAATTCTGAATATCGATTTGTATGATTATCTAGCCTATATCATTCCATCTTTTCCAAAAGAACAGTAGAAGCAACTTTATCAAAAGTTTTGCCGTATGCACAGCATTCCCCTATCTTCTGGTTTAATAATCCTGCCGAAGAAGGAAGTGGGTAGTTAGACTGGCATGACCCATTCTTGATGAAGCTAGGCTGACTTTTCATAATTGCTGCTTCCCTTTCTAGGTATTCACCAACTTTTTCTTTTTTGGGGGGGGGGGGCTGGGCAATGGGGTTAAGTGACACATAGCTAGTAAGTGTCAAGTGTCTGAGGTCAGATTTGAACTCAGGTCCTCCTGACTCCAAGGCTCTATCCACTGTGCCACCTAGCTCCACCAACATCAACCATTTTTTTTTTAATGATACATTCCAGAACTTCCTCAGGAATTGATGTTGTTTCCTGGGCTGATTATAGGCTCTTTTGGTTTTCTTTTCTTTTCTTTTCTTTTCTTTTCTTTTCTTTTCTTTTCTTTTCTTTTCTTTTCTTTTCTCTTTTCTTTTCTTTTTTCTTTTCTTTTCTTTTAAATCAGGACATTCACCTTTCTCCCATATTGTGCTCGCTCTCTTGTTTTTTCCACGATCTTTGACATTATCCCCAACAGAGGCTCGGCCATCACAGCTGTCTGCTCTTTCAGTACCAGAAGATCTGGGCTGGGTGAATAAAATTTACCAAGGGCAGTGAGGGACTCGCTGACCATCTCTTCACCTATCCTGGGTATCAGTTCCCTGTTAGTCACTTTTGTTCTGACATTTCTAGTGTAAAGGTCATTGGCAGAGAAATCAGGAGCAAAATAAGGCTTGAGCAGCTTAGCCACCTGCCTCTGTGTCATCACTTATCACTATCCCATCCACCCCAAGCAGCAGACCTAATTCTTCTTTGGCCCTCCCCTTTTTTCCACCGGTAGAGCTTTTCAGAAAATTCTGAAAACTCTTTTTACGGGTGCTTGTTTCCCTGACCAGCCTCAGCTCTTTCTTCTTCCTTTACACCCTTTGTAATTTTTTCCACCAAAATGGAGGTTGCACACCAGAGTGAACCTTCCTGCCTCTTCCACAGACTCTAGCAGGGAGAAGGCAACGCTGTGCTTCTCAGTGCTTCCACTCCAGCCACCACTTCCTCTCTGGTAGTGACCATGGATGCAGAGAATCCCCTTGTTGGTTCTTTCACCTTTTGAAGAATGAAAATAGCCCTCATACAAGTTAAGAATTAGCTGTTAAAAAAAAAAAAAGAATTAGCTCCTTTTTCTTGAACACAGACACAGAGAGCATTCCAGTTCTTGATAAATTAAGTCCCCTATCATTATTATTTGATCCCTGTTTGCTGGACTATTGATCTATTTCCTGAACACCTTATAGCTTCTTTCTGTCTAGGCGGTCTGTAGTACATTCATGACTAAATCACTTCTCTTTTTTCTTCTTCCATTGATCTCTACCCAGTGCTGTCTCCCCACCATGCTTTCTCTCTCTGGTTCCTAGATTTTGTCACAACCCAAGTGAAGAATTAAGACTTTCTGAATGTACAACCCCCTCCATTTTTATCTTACCTGTCTTTTTTTTTAAATAAGGTATTACCCACATTCCAGTCCAAGTGGGGTTCCCCTTCCCCTCCACCAAGTCTCTGTGATGTCAAATTTCCCTCCTGAGTTTGTCTAGCCTATATCATTCCATCTACCTTTTACATTTACTTTCTAATGTTAAGGCAGAATAACTATTAGTGTTTTGAATGACTTTTAGGTATCCAGCATTAGCGAACCACATTATAATGAGCTGGCAATTTAGTTGATCTAGGTACATTTTCCAAATCCTGGATTTGACAGCCTTAGGGTTCCATGGTGTGTGTGTTGGGGTGAAGGGCGGGGAGGACATCGAGGTTTTGTTCAGTAACACTTGCAATGATTTGTCCCCACAGGAAGGATTGGGTCCCGGTGATACAACAAGCACTTTCTGTGGGACGCCGAATTACATTGCCCCAGAAATCCTAAGGGGAGAAGAGTACGGTAGGTCGATGCTAAAATGTCCCCAGATTTTCCTTCTCGTCTTACTCAGTCCTGCTCGTTGAGGCGTCTCTGAATCCTGGGCTGGACCGCCGAGCATCACGTGTAACCTGTCCCTAAATGAGAACTGCCCTCGACAGCCTCCTCAGCAAGTGCCGCCAAGGCTGACCCGTGTGGCTATGGGGCTTTGAGGTCTCTGTGTTACTAAGTTAAGGTACTTTGGAGGGAGCAGAATACTGCTACCCAATGTAACCCAGGTCTTCCTGACTGCACATCCAGCTCTCTGTTCACCACCCCATGGTGCTTCTTGGGGCTCTTCCTTCCCAGTAACCAGAACATGGAAGAGCCAGCCCATCCCTCTTGTGAGCACCCTTTTTCTGGTCCTGAGTAACCTGGGGAAATGAATTCATCCTGGAAAGTTTGCTGGCCAAACAGAACATCGGAGCCAGGAGGATTGGACAGTCTTAAAGGATGTCTGGTCTAGGTAGTGAGGGACCAAGGTTTGTTCCCATGTTCTCTCCTGGCCAGAAGTCTCATGTTTGCCCCGCAGAGTGCTTCTCTGGGAACGGCCATCCCTGGCATCTTCATCCCTGGATCCTACTCTCTTCAAGGCACAAATCAAGTCATTTCAACAAACACTTCACAAGCACCTGCTATGTGTCAGACGTTGACTGGACTGGGCATTGGGCATATAAATATAAAAGAATCCTTGCCCTTAAGGAGCTTACAGTCTATGAAGGAGTAGAGCAGTGTGGAATATGTTGTGTTCACAGTTGGAGAGGCAGCATGTCAAGATGGAGAAAACAGTAATAACTAGGGGGAAAAGGGAGGAGGGAGATCCATCAGGTGGCACCCAAACTGCTTTGAAAGTTAGGATTCTATAATGCAGAGGAGAAGAGGGAGAGCATTCTAGGCATGGAGAAGGGGAAGGACAAAGGTTTGGTGGTGGGAGATGGAATTCCCAAATTGCCTGACAGCAGTTTCCCAGGAATGGTAGAGTGCTTGGTATATAATATGTGCTTAAATTCTTGTAGCTTGATTGCATGATGGGACCCACCCTCACACCCCCCCCCCCTCCCCCAGGAGAACATTAGCTTTATTTCATTTTTTGCCCATATATCACCATCACCTGTTACGGGGCACCCCCCCCCCAGTAGTAGTACTTCACACACAATTGTTAATTAATTGGTTGGTTGATTGGTTCTTGCCCTATCCCCAGGGTTCAGTGTGGACTGGTGGGCCCTTGGCGTCCTGATGTTTGAGATGATGGCGGGAAGATCGCCATTTGATATCATCACAGACAATCCGGACATGAACACTGAAGATTACCTCTTCCAAGGTACGTGTATGCATGCACGCCTGGCACTAAGGATGGGGAGGATGGTGCCCCAGGAGGGTCTGTCAAGCTTAGAAACAGAGCTTTCTCCCAAGCTCTCCGAGTTTCAGATAACAATATTTTTCTCATCCTCCATATTCAGTCTGTTGCTAGCTCCTATCAATTTTATCTTCACATCTCTTGAATATGCCTCCTTCTCTCCTCTGACACTTCTCCCATCCCGATCCAGGCCCTCATCACCTCATCCTTGGACTATTGCAATAGCTGTTTGGGGGTCTGCCTGCCTCAGGTCTCTCCGCACTCCCACCTTGTCTCCATTCAGCCACCATAGTGATTTTTTTTAAGGCAATTGGGGTTAAGTGACTTGCCCAGGCTCACACAGCTAGTAAGTGTCAAGTGTTTGGTCTGAGGCCAGATTTTAACTCAGGTCCCCCTGACTTCAGGGCCAGTGCTCTATCTACTGTACCACCTAGCTGCCCCGATCATAGTGATTTTCAAGGCCAGGCCTGACCGTGTTCACCCCCAGCTCACTAAACTCCAGTTTACTATTACTTCCAGGATGCAATATAAAATCCCCTAATTGGCATTCAAAGCCTTTTCTACCCTGCCCTCTTGCTCTTCCTAACTTCTTATGCCTTCCATCATTCTCCCCCACCACACCCTACCCCTCCCTGGGCAATCCAGTGACTGGCCTCCTCATTGTTCTTCAGATGAGACCCTCCATCTCCCAGGTCTGGGCATTTCCCCTGGCTGCACCCCGTGCTTGGCATGCTCCCCTGCCTCATCTCCGTTTCCCTGGCTTCCTTCATGTCCCAGTTAAAATCCCACTTCCTCCAGGAAGCCTTCTCTCGCCCCTCTCCATTCCAGCGCCCTCCCTCTGGGGATCATTCCCCATTCATCCCGTCAGTGCCTTGTTCAGACATACGTGTGTGCACGTTGTCTCCTTTGTCAGGCTGCGAACTCTCTGAGGACAGGGACTCTTCTTTTGCATTTCTTGGTGGACCTGGTCAGTGCCTGGCACATAGTAAGGCACTTTACAAAGTGCATGAGCTGACTTACTGCGGTTCCAGGAGTTAGAATACTAATTACAGCTAACAGTCATACTTCAAAATCTTATTTCATTTTATCTTCATTACATTTGGGAGGGAGGTGCTGTTATTATCCCATTTTACAGATGAGGCAGGTGGAAGTTAAGTGACTTGCCTGGAGTTACAACTAGTCAGTGTCTGAGGCAGAATTCGAACACAGGTCTGTCTTCCTGAATCTGAGGCTGATGTTCTACCCATTGCACCACTTATCTGTTAAACCGAAGAAGGCCTTGTAGATGTGGACTTTTCTATGTACTCCCAAAGTGCTGGGAAAGGTATGAACGTGGTAACCAGGGGGTCTGCCTTCTACTTGAAGGTATATATCTCAAAGCTTTACCTTGAAACCCATGAAGTCCTCTGTATTTTAAGCCCCAATCTGAAAACGAGACTAGAAAAATCTCTTGCACCTTAATTTTCCAGAGTACCTTAAGCATGGTACCACTGAACAGTGATAATAATTGTCATTATAACTGATGAGAGGAAGGATTCATTGTATGGCATGCTAGCCTCAGACCCAGGGAGACCCAAGTGCACATCCTGTCTCTGACCCCTACTGGCTGTGTGACCCTACATAAGTCACTTTACCTGTGTGCCCCAGCCAAAACTATAAGATGCCAACCAGATGCCATCCTACACTGGTGCACGTCAGTCAGTCAGCTGGTGTCCTTAAGCTTCTGTGGCCCAGCTACTGCCCCAGGGATGCCCTGAGCTGACAGAGAGGCAGCTAGGTGCTGCTATGGATAGAGTCAGGAAGACCTGAGTTCAGATCCTACTAAAAATAATTACTCGCTGTGTGATAAAAATGAATCATGCTAATAATAATAGCCCCTGCCCTCAAGGCGCTAATAATGAATGAATGAATAATGGTGATGGTGATGACAGTAATGTCTTGCCCTTCAGAAGCTTACATTCCAAGGCAGAGAAGATGGTTTAGTGGCTGAGCTCTCAGCCTTGGAGTCAGGACCTTCCCTCGGACACCTCCCCGCTAGCCATGTGGCCCTGGGCAGGATACACCACCTGTCACTGGTGGAGGGAGTTTTCTCGCTGCAGTTTCCCTACTCTGTTGAAACCACAAATCTGTAACAACAGCTGCCGTCTCTATAGTGATTTAAAATGTGCAGTCTGTTTCAGCCTCCTAGCCACCCTATACAGTAGGTCCTCTGGGTATTATTATCCTCATTTTACAGATGAGAAAACTGAGGCTCAGAATGTGCCATGTGTTCTTCATGGTCACACACATAGTCACTGTCAGAGGCAGGATTTGAACCCAGGCCTCCTTTTCTCTCAGTCCTGTGTGCCTCGTTACTTTTTTTTAGTGTCACTTGAACCAGTATGGCCGCAATGCCTGCCTTATAACCAGGGTCCTGAGCTCAGAATGGACTCATTCAGCCTATGTGGTGGCCACGCTAACAGGCTGCTCCTCATTTCCAGACAAACGTCTCGCAAAGACTATCGGGAAAGGGCATCAGATTCAGCTTCTCTCTGCTCTTTACCATATGGGTGACCCCGGCCAGGTCTTCATCTCTGTGTGCCTCAGTCTGTAAAACGAGGGAGTGGAACGGGATGGCCTCTGAGCACCCCCGAGGCCAGTCCTGTTGGCTCTGTAGGTGCCCCCAGTGCGTTTCTGGGCCTTAACAGACACGCAGGTAGAATGTCGTCTTCCATCGGCTGACCTTGGGCTCTGAAAGGGACCCTGAAGGAGGAAGAGACAAGGCCCTGAGGGAGGAATGGATTTGTTTGGGATCACACAGGCTGCAGGCAGAAATTATTACCAAATGAGAGTATTTTTAAAAATTAAAACCATCCTTCTATAAACTTCTGTGTGATGTTTATCGAGGGATAGAGGGCTGGACTCCGAGCTCAGTTTGAATCCTGCCCTCCGACACTTATGGTTGTGTGACCCTGGGCAAGTCACTGAAGCTCTCTCTGCCTCTTTCCTCATCTGTAAAATGGGCATAATCACAACAGCCCCTCCCTCCCAGGGTTCTTGGGAGGATTAAGTGAGATAAGATTTGCAAAGTGCTTTGCAGACCTGAAAGTGCTATGTAAGGGCTAGCCATTATTATTATCATCATCATAATTGCCCATTGGAATATAGTTTTCTAATTTTGTTGTTTCAGTCCTATCCCATTCTCCATGGCCCCATTTGAGGCTTTCTTTCTGCAGCTCATTTTACAGATGAGGAAACCAAGGTAAACAGGGTGAAGTGACTTGTCCAGGGTCTCCCAACTACCACGTGCCTGAGGCCAGATTTGAACTCAGAGATGAGTCTTCCTGACTCCAGGCCCAGCACACTTGTGCACTATGGTGCCCCCTAGCTGCTCTTTGGAATGGGTACAAAATGAATAAATACAAGGCTGGTTTGGGTGAGAGTGTAGTAGTGGCTGCCCTCCATGGAAGAAAGTAGCTTTTTCCATGTTATAGCCTTCCCTGGCCTCATCATCCTAGTCAAACTGCCCTGTTTCACTCTTCTACATAGAGAACATTTCTAGTTTCATCTCCTATTTTTTCCCAGGCTGACCCCCATACCTGGGATTTCCTCTCTTCCCTCCCGAGCTTGGGTTCCACTTCCAATACAAGATCTTTCTTGATTGTCCCAGTTACTAGTTCCAGACCCTCAGAAATTATTTTTGTATGTACTTACATATACACGTTTTGTCCCTTCCTTCCCCACTCCAAGGAGGAGCGAAACATGATGGTCCTAACCCTTGAGCTGGAGGGAATATTAGAGACCATCTAGTGCAACCTCAGCAATTTACAGATGGGGAAACTGAGGCTGTGTCACTTTCTCTGAGCTATAACTATCAGAGACAGAATTTGAACCTAGGTCCTTTGACCCTAAAATCAGTGTTCAAATTGGTGAGTTTCTTGAGTACTTGTCCTGGTTTGTTTTAATCTTTGCATACCCAGTACCTAGAGCACAGCCTGACACATAGTAGGCACCTTAAAAATGTTTGTTTGCTAGGAAAGGGGACAGGGATTAATTATAGTAGAATGGAAGCTTCTTAAGGGCAGGCATTGTGTTTATCTTAATGTTCCTGGCCCTTACTTAGAATGGTGCTTTATACTCAATAGATAATCCTTTTTTAAAAATATCACCTTCATTTCCAAGCACAGCCCTTCTCTCTCTCCAGAGTCAACCCTTAACAAAGAATTAAAAAAAAAAAAGATTCCACAAAACTAACACAACAGAGATTTCTGACCGTCTATTGAGTATGGTCAGCCAACGTCCTCCATTTCTCCAGTGAAAGGAGGGATGGGTGTTTCCTCATGTCTCCCTCCAGGGATAAGCCTGGGCTTTATCATTAGCATTGTTTCAAGTTGTGTTGTTGGGTTTTTCCCCCATTTCATTTTATTTATGCAGTTTTAGTCACTGTATAGTACTTTCCTGGCTCTGCTTACTTTGCTCTACATCAATTTGTACAAGTCTCCCTGTGTTTCTCTAAATTTTCCCTCTTCTTTCTTGTTTCTGAGAGTGTGCCGTCCTGTTCCCTTCCATTCACAGAGCTCGGCTTCTTCAGCCTGTCCCTGATCCCTAGACTTCCAGTCCTTTGCAATCCCCAGAAGTTCTGCTTTGGAATATACTGAGGTTCTAGGGCTGGTCTTTCTGCCTTTGACCTCCTGCGATAGATGCTGAGCCATGGACCCACTGGTCCATGTAGATTCTTAGCCATTTGTTGAATTTGGTTAAAGCAGCTTTTTTTTTTCATGTCTTCACATGCGATTGAATAAGGATACACAAGGTAGACAGTTGTACGGCAGGTCTAGAATTTTACTTTTTGGCTCATTTGTGAATATTCTTGTAAAACAGAAAAGTGGGGCAGCATTTCTCAAGACCTTTTTTCCAATCTCCTCTAGTTATCCTTGAGAAGCCTATTCGAATCCCCAGATTTCTCTCTGTCAAAGCCTCCCACGTCTTGAAAGGATTTTTAAATAAGGTAAGTGTTCCTAGTTCTTTTGCCACATGAGCAGGGTGGGGATGGGGGTTAATCTGGCATTTTCCTCTTGGTAATTTAACAGCAGGGAAGAACTATAATGCAGAAAACATGAGGGTCCCCAGGCATATTGGAGGAGAAAATTAATATGTAATTTTTTTTAGAACAATGTTTTAATGAATTACCCTTCCTGCCTCTAGGACAGACATTCCAGGCCTTCTAAGCCCCAAACTCACCTTTCCACCCATTACTTCCATCCGAGCATTCCAGTTCTCAGCTCCATGTCTTATAAATTCTTCATGACTTTGTTCATGGGCACCCCTTACAGGAAGCACGTCCTTCGCCATGTTTTCCCATCTCTGAGTCCTCTCTAATGATGCTCTATTTGTGTGCAGCTTATAGTCTGTCCTTCTCTTCCCTTCCCCTCCCCAAAAGTCAGCCCCTGGAAGGTGGGGCCTATTTGGCATTTTGTCTGTCTTTCCAATCCTATCCCCAGTGCCTCCTGAATAACAGTCAATTGCTATGTTGGCTGGATTGTTCCAGACCCCCAGAAATTATTTTGTATGTACTTACCTGAACATGTGTTTTGCCAGTACACCCTCTCCAAAGGAAAACTGGTCCTTTAGCAAAACCAAGATTCAGTTTAAAATATGGAGAAGAGACAAATTTTCTCATAGCTGGGAAGGCTGCTTCTGACTTGAGGAAAGGAGGCATTTTTGGTGATAATGTTTTTTTGATTCCTTTCTTGAGTATAGAAAAAAGATGTGGGAGAGAGGGAAGGAGAGGATTTATATAGCCCCTACTATGTGCCAGGCAGTCTGCTATGTGCTTCCCAATATGATCTCAGTTGAGTGTGGAAGTATAGGAGTGAGCAGAGGTTGGGTTCTTTTAAGCTTCTCTGTTACAATGCGAACCATCAGCTCATTTGACTCAGGGAGGGAGGGCTCATCAGTAAATTGCAAGAGCAAATGTTGACTTGACTTTTTCTTCCCCTTTTATATTTTGACTTCTAGGATCCCAAAGAGAGGCTTGGTTGCCAGCCACAAACGGGATTTTCAGATATCAAGTCTCACACGTTCTTCCGCAGCATAGACTGGGATCTGGTAAACAACCCAAGCCCCATGAATTCCCTGGTGTGATGAATGAAGTGTGGTTTCTTACTGTCCAGGAATTAGATTTATGTAGGACAAAGCCAGCTCTGTGTGTGTGTGTGTGTGTAAGTGCCTTCTGTGGGTCTTCCTAGACCACTTTTCTTCTGCTAACAGGGCTCTGATATCCAGAGAAAACAAAGGGAAAGCCAGAGCTGACCCATTAGCAACCTCCCTCCAAAAAAGGGAAAGATAAGAAAGATTGTTCATTTTGCAGTACAATATAGAACTGCAACTAGAAATTGCAATTGTCTGAAGCAAGAAGCATTAAATATTTCCACCTCCATCAACCTTTTAAGACAAATTCCATTCAGGGGAGAGACCCCAGGACACCAGCTGGGGACAGAGATCTAGGGACCCTTAGAGGCTACTGCCATAGAGGCCAAAGGGAAACATAGCATGCAGTCGCTTCCCTTTTTCACTAATTATTCTTATTAATTAGATACTAAGCTCAATTGTTTTTAGCTGCTAAAAGAGCCTGCATGGTATTGGTGTCTCTTCGGTCTCAGTGCCCGGTGCCAAAGCCCTGGTTGCCCCATCTTGGTTATCATTCTGTGATACTCTCTGAGGACAATACTTGTTTGGAATGCTTTGCTGGGGAAGTACCTGCTTCCTTGGCCTCACTGAATTGTAGCTGGCATCTGCTGGGGCATCTACTGATGCTTCACAGGGCATTTGCTGGGGGCATTAGGAATTCGGGATGATCCAGAACACACTGAAAACTCCCATCTCGGTTCTGTATGCCTCCTGTGAGGCTGCAGAAATGACCCCCAGGCCGATCTTCTGGAGGACAAATCCAGAGCTGTTTTCTGGCTTATGTCATTGTGTCATTCAATGAGGAGTTTTTCTGAAGAAATGGAGAGAAACAACCCCTGGCTGAAATAATTATATAACTTAGCAGGCCTGTAAACCCCGATGCCTCTTGTAAATGCATGAGAACCAAGAAAATGAAACTGAACGGGGTACATTCATTGTCTGTGCCCAGTGAAAAGTGAATACTTTGCCAAGTTACTGACGTTTTGCCTCTAAATTACACTTTAACTTTAAAGGGGAAACAAAAGACATTGTTAAGATCTTGAGGCCAGCCACTTCTTGAAAAATTTGGTCTTTTGCTTCATCCCCCCAGTCTAGGCCAGCAGCAGGAAGGAAAGAATTGAGGCAGCTGATAGAGACTGGGAGCGAAGAAAACTCGGATCAGAAGGAAATTGGGCATTTTCTTAATGCACTCCTCTAGCTAGACTGTCTGTTTGCCTTAATAGAATTCACTGGGTCACCCCAAGAAGGTCTCGTGGAGACAGGCTTGGTCTGTTCCTGAAAACTCTGAAAGAGCAGGGGTAATGGGTCCCAATTTGTAGCTACTGAAAACCTGATTATATCCATGTACCTATTAAAATAATTCTCTTCGATGGACAATTTCGGTAATGGGAGCCGACATACTATTTCCAAGGATTGTGGAATATGTGTAATTTTCAGTGACATTGGAGAAGTGGGCAAGGCTGAATTTTCTAGGTGCTCCTTTGAAGGGGGGATGGGGCATCACAGGAAGGGAAATCTGGGTGTTCCAGCCAGGTGCCCTTGGTAAATGATTAAGTCTGTAATCTGGATTCTTCAAGGCCTGGCGGTCCAAGGCTCTATTGAAATAGATTACTTATTCTTACTCCTTAGGGCTGGGCCCTGCCTCTCTCTCTTTGGTTATGCTGCATGATGGAGTTTTATGTACCAGAACACCTGGCTGTACACTGTTCTTTTGTTCTGCTAGAGACATCTGGGTGGTGCAGGGAACAGAGCAAGGGACCTGGGGTCAGCAAGTGGTGATGGTGGTGGTGTTCAATTGTTTTCAATGGTGTCTGACTCTTCATGATCCCACTTGGGGTTTTCTTGGCAGAGATACTGGAGTGGTTTGCTATTTCCTTCTCCAGCTCATTTTACAGATGAGCAGACTGAGACAAACAGGGTTAAATGACTTATCCAGGGTCATGCAGCTAGTATGTGTCTAAGGTTGGATTTGAACTCAGGTCTTCTTGACTCCAGGCCCTGTGTTTTCTCCACTGTGACTGAGGCAAACAAGATGAAGAGATGTGAATTCAAATCCAGTCTCAAACACTTCCTAGCTGCATGACCCTCAGCAAGTCACTTAACCACCAATGGCCTCAGTTTCCTTCTCTGTAAAGTGGGCATGATAATAGCACCTGCCTCCCAGGTGAGAAGCAAATGAGATAGTATTTGTAAAGTGCTGAGCCCAGCACGCAGTAGGTGACTAATAAATGCTTCTATCCTTCAACCACAGTACTGTAGAAAAAAGCTTTGACCTCAGGTGTCGGGGATCTGGGTGCAAATCCTGCCTCCGATGCGTTGCTTCACACCCTGCCTCCCCATTTCCCCCCACGTTTCACTTTAAGCTTTGCCCATGCTTTTCTCACCATAGCACAACAAGGAAGATCCTGCAGGTGTGACTATTCCCATTTTATAAATGGATTTGTCTGAGGCCCCCCAGCTAGGATGGGTACAGAGCCAGCTTGGGAGCCTGGGCTCTCCTCACCTATGGGGATGACTTGCTGTCTGTGCTACTGAACGGTCCTGGATGGGGGGGGCTTCACAGGGAGCGATGGACGCTCATTCCCGGGCCGGGCCCCGAGACCCCGAGGCTCGGCAGCTCTCTATAAAAGACTCTTTGTCATATGGGGCAGAGGGAGCTGTTTCTGCTCCAGACTGCAGAAAGAAATATTCCATCGTCTCAGGAAAATGGAGAAGGTGCCAGTTCCAGGCCCAGGTAACCAGGGCAAAGGCACCAGCTCTCCAAGAATGCTCGGCTCCCAGCCCCGTGGAGTTGGCGGAAGCAGCATCTTGCATCCTGAATGGAACAACCTTGGGGGGCTGGGTGGGAGAGGGAGGAGGGGCCGGAAGCAGAGTGAGCCTTTTTAATGCCACCAGACACTGCCCTGAGCTGAAGAGCTCGGCTGATTTCTGGGAACTGGCATGAAAGGAAAGCAGCCTGTTCTGCAGAAACTGGGTGGGGTTTCTTGTTCATTAGATTTTTTTGTTTTGTTTTGTTTTTATTGGGATTTTCCAGGCTGGCAGGGAGCCTCTGGGTGAAATGGGTTAAAAAAAAAAACCCTTCATAGCCAAGGATTCTTATGCCCTTGTTTGGCCAGGGCAAACTCCAGGCTTTGGTCACCCAAGGGTCTTTGAGGGGAACTGTGGGGGTGGAGAAAGAGGCAGGAGGTAGCTGGGTTGGGATCCTGGTTCCCCGGCCAGGAACTGGCCCAGTGTAAGAGAGGGGAAAAGGAATTTGGAGTCCGAGGTCCCAGATTCAAGTCCTGGCTAAGCCACTTACTAACTGTGTGACCTTGGGCAAGTCTTTGCCTTTCTAGGCCTTGGTTTCCTCACCTATAAAATAAAGAGTCTAAGGCCTGTAAGGTCACTTGCTTTCTGTGATCCTAAATTACTTAATAATGTACTTGCTACCTTCTTCCTTCCCTGTGCCTTTGTATCTACAGGACTTGGCACATATTAAATGCTTATTTAAATGGTGCTTATTAAATGCTCATTGATTGGTTGATTAGCCTTTGGAAGGGGAGGGGAAGGGAAAGCTTTCATTAAGCACCTATTACGTGCAAGGCACTGTTATTATCCCCATTTTACAGTTGAGATAACTGAGGCAAGTGGGTGAAGTGACTTGCCCAGGGCCACACAGCTAGGAAGTGTCGAACTCAGGTTTTGCTGACACCAGACTCTATCCCCTGTACCCTGTGGTGGCTGAAAGAGCACCGGAAGACACTGGGTCCACATCAAGTTAATCCTGCGCTGCCACGTCCTGGATGTGTGACTTTGGGCAGATCATCGCCCGTCTCTCAGCCTCTGTAAGAAGAGGTGATGGGGATGAATGGCCCCACGGGTCCTTTTCCGTCCTGTGGAAAGTCTCTGATCCTGTGACAAAGTGATATGTAAACTCGAAAACACCACATACAAAGCTCGGTTGTTGTTTTGGGTTTAGAATGGTCATTTCATTGTCATAGAAGTACCTTCTAGCCATGCCCATCAGTGTCTCTGTACAGACTTCACTGACTTGTCCAGGGTCACCCAGCCAGTTTATGTCCCAGGTGGAAGTTGAATCCAGGTCCTCTTAGCCAACCCTCCATGCATCACAAGATAATCTTGATCTGTGGAGCTGTGCCTGAAGTCGTATAAGCAGGAAGGTGGAGCAGTAGGATTTGAACCCACATCTTTTGACTCTAAAGCTGCAGTGGTTCGCCTTGCTCCCTCTCCCTGCTCAGTCCTGCTGGTTTCTGGGCCCTCACTCCCCCAGGGGTCTTACTACCCTTCTTGGACAGTCTCCAAATCACATTCATCCCCATTGCACTGGGAGAGGATTTATCCTGTCAATTAGCAAGGCTTTGCTGGAGATGCCAAGGTCACTCTAAAAGGTGGGAAATGTGTGCTCTGTTATCCTGTGTTTTCCAGCGAATATATGAAAAGCCAACTGCGACTCCTCCCAGCCAAGCTGGGGGCTCTGCTTTAGTCCTCTGGGAAAAGAGTTCTCAGCAGAGAAGTCAAAAGATGGGAAATGCTGTAGATCGAATACTCTTTCCTCTCCCTTTCCTAGTGGAAAAGAGAGACTATTAGTCACGAGACTGAATAGGAGCAGAAGCAAGGTGCTGGTCAAACCTAAAAGAGAAATCTGTAAGGTAGTTCTTCCAGTCGTGAGCATTTGCAGCTTACAAAAGCAGGCTCGTTCGACAGCTCCCCACCCCCAGTCTGCTCTTCCTTCTTCCTCCCTTTGCTGGTAGCATCCCTTCCCTTCCAGACCCTTTTGGCCCTTAGATCCCTGTCCCTTCTCCCTGGTGCCCCTGGGTTCCACTCGTTTTGAGACCTCGTTCCCTTGCAGTAAGTTTGATGTAAGCCCCAAGAGAGCTGCCCCACAGTGGGGTGGGCGGCCTCAGGTTCCCTGAATGGGT